TAAGCACTCTCAAAAAAACAAAACTATCGTTATAATCACTGAAGCTGTATACACTGTGAAATGAATCTCTTACTTACACTGTACGTACATCTGCGCTTTGTTGTTTATGATGAGAGAATTTGCAAGAGTCTGGAATTCAGTCAGCAAACGCGCGCGCACTCAACAAAACTGATGAGTTTGAACGATGACTCATCTGAACGCTTCTGATTTGGCCATTGCATCCCTAAGCTCAACAGAATTGTGTGTGATTGGTTCAAATTAGTGATCGACCAATATTGATTTTTTTTTTATAACCGATACCGATACCAATTATTTGCGTGTTTATGTGCCCGATAACCGATATGCAGAACCGATATTTATTTACTGTTATAAAGTAAATAAATGACTGAGTGAAGTAAGAACATACTTCACTTTGGTTTTTCCTCTTTTCAGTCATCTTTTTTTTTTTAAAGTGTTGAAAATTAGCAGTCTTTCATGTTAAATTTAATCTTTATATTACAACAATAAAAAACATTTTATTTATAAAAAGCATCAACTGCAACAACACTAATATTAACAATAAGCAAAATAAATGTAGAATGTCTAATGTTTTCAAATGGAGAAAATAAATAAAGGACAGGAGTCATATCAACTTCATTTTAAACTACAGTTTTAGTAGGTTTATAAGCTGTTTAATAGGCTAAAGAGTGAAGAATAATTCACTGGATATTGTTAATTCACTGAATAATATTCTCTGGAATATTGGAATATAACAAACAAAACATCGTATTTTATTGCATTTCTCAACTGGAATGTTATATCAGAATTATTAATAATGTTTTTGTCCTTCTAGATTATGAAATGCCTGCTGACAGCGCAGTTTATCTATGCATTTACACAGAACTATACTCAAACTGCGATCGCTCGCGGAGATAATAAATAATTAATTTCCATAGAGTTGTATTTATTTAGATGTTTATTAGCGAAATAATGGTTATATAGTAAATGTTAATACAATTTAGGGTGTTTTAAACAAGTGAATCTTTTTAAAAGTTACATGCGGTGGCCGTGCTGGGGCATTTCCTGAGCATCAACCTGGTGAGTGAACGGCAATATAAAAGCGGCTTCACGAGACTAATGATGAGCAAGTATACAACAGAGAGAGAATTAAATTCAGCGCTTTTATTTCCAACATGCGCTCATTCATGGCTGTATTATTTAACTCATGCAAAGTTGCGTCTTTATTGGGAGAGGATCTTGACGGATTATCTACGTGACTCCGTAAAAATCGACGCGTTTCAGAAAGGCGGGGCATAGAGGAGAAACAATAATGTACAGTATGTGGAAAATAATGTGTTTTTTTAACCTTAAACCGCATAAACACATTTCATTACACCAAATACACCAAATAATGTTCTTTTTAGCAACATCATATGACCCCTTTAAATACGCAGTCGCATTAAATGTGAATATCACAGAATCTGTATCACACATTTTTCATACATGTTTTAATTTATACGGTAAACCTCTGTTATATATCACTTTATTTGTCTAGAATAAAGTAAAGGAACTGATTAAATGATTTTTTAATTAATTTGATTACCATAGTTTGATACATTTGTATTAAATCACAAAACTCGTAATAAAAAGGAAAGACAATAGATTTTAAAAGATGAAACAGATTTCATAAGGCCCTATTGAATGTTTTATGAATTCGATTGATTCGACATCCATTTTAATGATTAAAATGTAAAGTAATTAATTATTTAATTAGTTAATGGTTTTTAATGCCACAAAATTTTTTTTAAATTGGTTCTTATGTTTTGAGATCGTCATATTTTTCAATAGCACTAAATATTAATTCTGGACCTTTTGATTATGTCTCAGTTTCCCTTCTGCTAGTGGTTGACTAAATGTTTCTTTTGACTTTCAAAAGGTTTTGCCGCTGTGCATAAAGTCAGCGAATGTGTACTCAGGCCGTATCGTGAGCCAGAAAGACGATTGTTACGAGACACTCGCTGCTGAAATGAACGCACACTACGCTAGTGAGAGACGCTGTGCTGTCGAAGTGCTGAAGGGAGAACTTTATGCCATTCAAGAGGAGAACATCTATAACCGGTAATGACATAGACGCCCTCTAGTGGGACACTTTACGTACACATCATTAGGGAAACCTTTAGTTTATAATTTAGCATGCAGTACCTTTCAAATGTTTGGAAAGGGTTTTTTTTTTTTTCCATGTAAAGAACACTTGAATGCATTAAATTGATCAAAAATTATGGGAAAGACTTTTATGATGTACAATGGTTTTCTATTTCTAATAAATGCTGTTCTTTTGAGCATTTTTATTAATCAAATGCTGAAAAAATTATCATGTTTTGCACAAAAATATTAAGCAGCACAAATATTTTCAACATTGATAATAATAAATGTTTCTTGAAGAGCAAATCAGCATATTAGAATGATTTCCAGTGTTTCCCACAGGACTTTGTGAGACTTGTGGCGGCAGGTGACGTCACATATTAATATGTCATTGCGTCGTGTTTACGTTCAGCCAAGTTTTAGCACTTCAGGTCTGTTCTTCTCTCTGAACTGTCACATACTGTAATACAACTGAATGCCCAATAAAGCTGTTCCCATTTACATATTTTCTGTCGTCATACATAAAACAAGTATTAATAGTGACTAAACACAACCCATTAATACTACATGTTAACCAGGAGTCACTCTCACTATACTCCTTAAACCCTGATTTATAATCGAGACATCGTCTGATTAAATCAACGTACATCTACACTAAAGAGCGACTATATGCTGTGGTTTTGGCTACTTTTTTGTCTCATGCAGCGCACTGCCTGAGTCTGAGTAACAAACTATGTTCATATTTATAAGCCCAAATAAAAATTAAGTTGATGGGAAATAATTGTTGGATTGGTTCTAGGGTGCGTGTGATGGAGGTGCCGGAAAAAGGAGAGCAGCTGTTCAGCAGCGTCACTGCCTGCTTCATAGATGAGGGCCGCACACAGGAAGTGAAGTCACACCAGCTTCTCCAACTTCCTCCTCAGTTCCAGGATTTGCCCGGCCAGGCTGTGGAGATCATCCTGTGCAGAGCGCAGCCCGTCGACGGAGAGGTGGACTGGAACCCGAAGGTCTCAGTAGTCCTTCTGAAAGAAAACATTTCTTCAGTTTGTACATAAACGGCTGTTTTAGAAAAGAAAAATGTCTGTTTTCAGGTGACCAGAGCCATCAGTCAGAAGATCAAAGGGAAGCTGCATCAGGCCAGGGTTGTGATGAGTGTGGGAAATACTGTCTGGGTTGATCCTATGGTAGGTGTTCAACATGTTTGCATCACAGGCCTTACAAGGTTTTGCTGGTCCAGTCTGAAGACATTCTGGTGCTCTTTTCTGCATTTGTTCTCCTCGCACAGGTGCGCATGACACGTGTTCCTGGTCTGAAGACCTACATTAATGAGTATAACGTCCATGCTGAGATCTTGGCCTCTGGGTTTGGTGTCAATAATCCTCAGCATGTGGACCTGCTGAAGAGAGTTTTCCAGGGAGACGAGAATGCAAACACACTCCAGCACTTGACAGATGACAGGTTTATTACTAATATTCAGATCAGTCTAATGTTTTAATGCTTTATCTTAAAGTCCCCATGAAATCAAAATTAAAGTTTTTTGGGTGTTAGTATCAATATGTTAGTCTTAAGGTTATCTATAAGGTAGTGTGCTCCAAAACAGTGACAAAATTCGCATTTAGAAGATATAAGCATTCAAAGCTTGCAGTTCGTCACTTCAGCTAAAACGGCTCAACGATTTTTTTGACGTGCTGTGATATAAACGAACGCTATTGGCTATTTTAAAAAAAGGCGGGCTGCTTGATATGTCCCGCCCTGTCTTCCTGTTTCAGTTAAAATGACGTCAACCCATAGAGTAACGCTGCGTGTTTCTAAGCATTTCAGGGGACCTTTCAGGGTTGAATCCAGGATGAAATGTTGAGGTCATATTTTACAATAGAAAGGAATAGAACTATAGATTTTGTGTCAAGAAAATCAAACCTATTTTTAGGTACATTAAGACTTTTTTCATTGTTGTTGTTTTTCACTGCTATTGTTTTTTTTAATCAAAAAGATGTGAAATCACTGCACTCAAAATAATACCTGGGTGTGCAGGTCAATGAAAATCATAATGACTTCAAATGCAGGATCCGAACTCACTTGTGTATTTTATGATGATTTGTAGATTTTTTTATTATACAAAAAGCACATATGGATCAAACGTTTCTGCACTCGGCCTTCCTCGGTGAATCATTCCTTGATAAAATATTGTGGTCACATTTCACAATAGAAAAAATAGAAATATATTTTCCTTTCGAAACATTGCTCTCACATTTCATTGAATTACGCTTGGGGTGGAAACTCTTCTTCCGAAAACTGAAGCCTGATTTGTTAACGTTTGTGCAGCTTCTCCCCTGTCCAGAGCAATCCAGAGTAAATTTCCGCTTATCAAGCAAATTTCGTCTGCGTTTGTTCCAAAATGCCACGCCATGAATGCCTGACGCTGAGGCAGCACTCGTGGAGATGGTCTGCTCTCATTGCGAGTCTCGCCTTGCTACGCTCGCGGATCGCTTTCTTCAAAGAAGGCGGTCCCGCTCCTCCCATCTCCCTTCCGCCCAAAAAATCTTCGTGGTGTACGGCCCAGTGTGGATAAAGAGCTCATCCGCATCCTCACAAAGGCTGTTAAAGAGCTCGGCTTGGAGTGGTCGGCCCCAGAAGAGCCCGCCCGCAGCCGCCTGGGTAAATGGTATCTGCCAGGGCTCCGCCAACAAGCCCCCCATCAGAGACTTGCACCTTTCTTTCCAGAAGTTCATGACGAACTCACCAATTCATGGGGTGCCCCCTACTCAGCCCGCATCCACTCTTCTGCCTCTGCCACCCTCACCTCTGTTAATTGTGCCGAGCAAAGGGGCTACGAGAAGCTCCCTCCACTTGAAGGCTCAGCGCTTCACACTAGAGACCTGTGCGGGAGAGATTTTTCAGTCCTGCTCCCGCCCGCTCCTGTAGGATTCTATCCCGCCTGCTCCTACCAAAATATTTTATCTTGTCCCGCTCCCACCCACGACATATAGATAAATAGCAATTTATATAAGTCCCGCAAATCATTTTATTCTCCCACATCCCACACACACACACACACACACGTGTCTCTACCCGCCCACACACGCACTTGCCCATCAAGTGTTGTCCCGCGCCGCACTGTTGCGTTGGGTTCCGCGGGAGTGCAGGTCTCTACTTCACACTATGGTGGTCCTCCAAGTTTTCCAGGCCAAGCTCCTCCAAGCCATGGACGAGTCCGGCTCAGATCCAGTGACTTTTAGGGAGTTGTGCAGTGCAACTGACCTGGCCCATTGCCTACAAAGCACTACCCCTTAGCCAAGTGCCAGGGCTCCCGCCCCAAAGCGACATTGTACCCTGAGCCGCAGAAACCGTCTTGATCTGTCAAGAGAGAAGAGGGCTTATTCCAGCTGACGCCTGACCTCCTTCGAAGAAGTCTCGCATTTGCCTTCCTTGGTTCAGGACAACAATGCTCATGTTCTCCCTCCGAAGTGCAGTGTCTCTTGGTGAAGGGAGCCATCAAAACGGTCCCGCCAGAGAACAGCGAGTTAGGCTTTTACAGCAGTTATTTCCATGTACCAAAGAAAGATGGTGGGCTCAGGCCTATCCTCGATCTCAGGCTCCTGAATCACACTTAATGAAGCGGCCATTCAGGATGCCAACTTAGTATTAGTATTCTTCGGAGAATGGAGTCTACTAGGAGTCTAATAGAAGTATTGTAATTCTTCAGTAAAATGTGATTTTATTACTCAGTTGTTGTTTTTTTACAGTAGTATTGAAATATATTTCTCTAAAAATAACTTCAGAGTAAAAATGAATTTTCCAGTGTTTTTATCTATCTATCTATCTATATATATATATATATATATATTAGGGGTGCTCCGATTGATCGGCTACCGATCACTATCAGCCGATAATCGCATTGGGATGATTGGGCGGTCTCTAAAAAGGCCGATCTCAAAAAAACGATCTGAAGCTTATGATGTGTCTGCCGTGAGAGGTTTGGCTCGACATGCAGCGGCACCGTCTCAGTCTGTCCGGTACGGGTGAAATAATTATAATGCTTTAGGTGAGGTACAATTCATATTTCTTCATTAAATAACTTATAAAGTAATTTGAAAAAGTTTCTGTGAGACATAATTTCACAAACAGCGTGAGTGAATCACCGCGCGCGCTCTCTTTCTCTCAAAATGCAAATGGATTCAAATCACATCGCGTCTGCACTATAAGTGAGCTGCACGCTGCACAGTTGATACACGAATTCTCACTTGCACTATCGAGGCAGTGTCGCATCATCACTAAAATTTATAAATTGCATTTTTTTTCTTTTTAATTCTTGTCAGTGTTTAAACCATTCAACGCTCACGTGCTTTCCTGGAGACCGTGCACTCATGCACACTCGCAGCGCGCACACAACGCCAGGTTCACATTACTTTGTTTGCAGTGCGTATGTGGTGCGTATTTTTTCCGCGCTCATGTTAACGGATTAAAGCGTTCACACTGCACACATGGTTGCGGTCTGGCAGTGCGTTTAGGAGCGGTGCGTCTGCAGCAGTGCAGAGATCGTTTCTGCACAGAGTCTATTTTTGCTGCGCTGCAAGCGCTGAATTAAAGTAACAGCGCATTGTTTGCGGTTAATATGAGCATGCATTGACACAAAAATGTAGTAATTACACCATAAATGCATATAATTAAAGTCTACTGTGTTTCACAGTCAACACATAGGCTATGGCTTTTTGGCTAGGTTTAAAGGAAAAGAGTGCACTTAGATAAGGCAATAATTTTAAAGTTATAATTAAAGTTCTTTATGAACCGCAAGATTGCTTGTAATAAAGATTTAAATGCAAAAGAAAAGGCAGTCTATGAAAGATTGTATTACTGTACTGTGTAAAAAAACAATCACAATATTGAAAAAGCCTTTTAAGTAACAATGTTTGGATTTAAAAGATTTAAAATAATGGATAAATGTGTTTGTGGTAAACAGCCACGGATCAGGAGCAGACTCTTGTGTGAAAGCACAGTCCGTGCTGCTTCTGTACCACTCATGGACTACATACGCACTGCAAACGGAGTATGTGTGAACCTCGCGTACAGCTCACAAAATCAGGCTTGCGCTGTGTAAGCTATTGTGCAACAATTACACGATTGTAAAAACAAAAATACAGTGCATGATCAAACATTTAGGTGAGATAAATATATATTTTTGAAAAATGTCTAAAAAATGCCCCCCTCCACCCCTAAAATGAAAAAAAAAAAAATCCTCTCACAAGAGTCACCTAAGAGAGGGATTCATTTTCAAAAATGAAATTCAGGCCCTGAATAAATGTCTAAAAATCTTGATTGGATCATCACTATAAATAATTCTACATGATAAAAAGAAGGCTTTAAAAAGATCGGTATCGGTGATCGTATCGGCAGATGCTGATTTCTGTGATCTGTGATCGGCCTCAAAAATCCTGATCGGAGCACCCCAGATATATATATTTATACACACATTCTTTTTTTTTTTTGACAGGTTTGAGAGCCCTTCGTCATCCTCACAGCAGAGAGTTGAGGTTACAGTAGATGTTCTCACCAGTAGAATGAAGGATTTAGTCAGCAGTCATAATGCCATGGACTTCAGCCAGACTCCCATCAGCCCCCAGAACAACAGTGCTGTCCTGTGCAATGGAGACCTGAAGGACAGTGATGATGATGATTCTTCAGAGGGAAGCATGAATATCATGAGGTTAGTACATGTTTAACTGACGTATTCAAAAAATATCACCTGCTTGTATTTTAGAATTACTTTTTTTAATCTTAAATGTCTTACTATTACACACATACTCTTGGCATAATAGTACTGTGTGTAGTAACTGACTTTCTCATTGTTTTTCTTTTTAGCCCTGATCTGAATGGATTCTCATCTCTGAACCAGACCAGACCTACCAGCTCTGAAACAGGCATGTTTATTCACTTGTAAGGAATAGTTTGAAGTGAACTAGTCTGTTTATTCCCATTTATAGTAACACTTGGTTTTTGCCCACATTGATTATGTAGACAAAGATGAAGCCCTGAACATCAACAAATTGCAGACAGTCAATGAACCACAGAATTTCCACAATCCAGCCCCTTTCTCATTCCAGCCTACCAGGTGAGTTATAAATATTTAAGAAACTATGGCTGCATTTACACAGGCAAGGTTTTTGGGCGACACGTTTGCCAGACGTGCATGCGCTCGCATTTTATTGAAATGGAAACTTTATATAGGTAAGAAATTGCACATTCAGGAGCTGCCCCATGAATTTTATAAATAGAACAGCTTCGCTACTAAAAGCTAAATTATGTTTCTTAGCAATGACGTGATAACTTTCACTTTTTCGCAAGCGTCACACTCGCTAGCTCTTTCTCTCTCTGTCGTTAATTCATTCGAATTCTTTTCAATAAATATCATCTTTCCGTTATTTATCTGTTCAGTCAGATTTTGTGCTGTAAAACATCCATGACAGCTGTTGTCCATGCTGGCAAATAATAATGGCCACTTGACGTGAATTATATAAATCATTTTTATAGCACGGCCATTCAAAACCGGAGGGTCTACCATGTGCGTAGTAAAGCAATCACTTTCATTTTGGGCGGGAATTATGTAAACACAGATACCGGATACCGGTCGTGTCTAAAGTGAATGTAAGCAGACGGGTCAAAAGATCGGATCTGTGCATTAAGACTTGCAGTGTAAATGCCGCCTATGTTCACATTCAGCATTACCACGCGTAAAGGTGTTCTGATTATTGTTCATATCTGATAGTAATACCAAGTGTTTCCCGTGTAGTTTTCACCCACAGATCAAATGGTTCCAGAGGGGTGAGTTGGTCACGATCTACATAAAGCTCATCAATCCAGCGATGCAGAAGTGCGAATTCCACTCAGACACGGCCATTTACAGGTCACATGATCATAAAGCATCTGTTTGTTCAGTCGTTTATTAACATTACCATTTCATGCTAGAAAGAAATGTATGGGCAGTTTAAAGGCTGTATTTTCTTAATATGACAGGACGGCAAAGAACATGTGCATTGATGTATGGTGTTTTACACATATATTTTATGGGAATTTTTCATGCATTTTAATCTCAGTGGGTACGTGTATGACCGGCATTACTATGCAAAGCTTGAGCTGTCCGGTGACATCATCGCAGAGGAGTCCTCATGGGAAATGAGATGCAATGAGCCGGTGATGAAGCTGAAGAAAAAGGAAAAGCGGGACTGGAGATCACTCCTCAAACACAAGGCACCGTCTATATCTTATTCAGATGTGACAATTCATTAGACCAGAGAAAGTGTTTAATACATTAATTGTGCTGTATTATGTTGAATATAATTTGATTTATGATTAATGTTTTTGTCATGTCTGTTAATCCACAGAGCCCATTTGTCAGCTATGAATTTGACTGCATTGAGGAGACTCGTGTTTCTTCAGTAAACGGTGAGGAATTAATATTGATTAAACCTTTCTGAGATGATGTTTGATTGGGGATACTAAGAGTGTAATTTGTCATTTTAAACCATAATTTCCTCAAGTAGTAACAATTAAAATTATGCACTTTTGTGGGGTTTTAGGTTATTTAGATCTTATTTACCCCTCCCTTTACTCCCTTTGTTAGGGTCTTCCTCATTTATTTCCTAAGGTTGGTCAGTTTTGACCAAGAACAGCCAAAGAGGTGTGACGACTTATGTATGACCAGTTTTTTGTTTGTTCAGATTGCATATTTAAATAAGTCATCAAGTTTGGACCACTCAGATTTAGAAAACAATTAAATAATAATAAAAAATAAAAAAAATCTGTCAAAAATGACCAATAGTCAACAGGTTAAGCATATAAGGGCATATGAAGGAAAACATTGGAGAGTTACTGTGTAGGGGAAGACTTCATTTAAAAAAATTTCTTTTAATGGAGTTAAAACTGCATCTTTTCTGTCATTTAAATGCTGTGTATAATCACATGATTGTTGTTTTGGATCAGGGCACTTGTTCCTGGCTGAGGTGGGAGAGGAGGGCTGTTATGTCAGCTCTGAGTGCGACAGTGACTGAAGAGGACGGATCCCAAATACACAACTCTTGTACAGTACATTCTTTAATTTAAAAACAGATCTATTTTATTGTCCAATTACCAATAATAATAAATATAGCTGCAAGCAGCGATTATGGGGCCAAGCCCCTGAAGGGGTGTAGCGCAGAGCAGGAAGAACAAAAACAGCAGAAATAGAATGTACATTAGGAAAACAGATAGGTTCAGAAGTACAAAGGTGTAAAATTGAACAGAAGTTCAGATGAGAACGAACAAAAATGCATTTCTGATTCAAGATGAACACGCATGGAAGATCCAACGTCTGGAACAGAAGCAACGTTCGCACCACTTCTGGCCACAGTACCTCTTGCGGTCTGGGCATGTGCCAACCTGGATTCGAACCCACGACCTGAAAGGTTCGGGGCCAGTGGCTTAGCAAAGTGTGCCACTCAGTTGACTCATGTTTAACAGGCTGCAGAAGAGAAGCTTAGGTGTGAGCTCACAAAATCATGGCTTAGCATTTTAGCCAGATTAGCATGCTAAGCAAAATTAATGCTAACATAGCTTACGGTTAACCTGATAGTTGAAGTCACATTAGACAGAATGGCAACCTGTTAGCATGCTAACCAATTAGCATGCTAAACTAACTAGCATAAGTCAACAAACACAGACACAAATTTTGAGAGGTATTTTTTTGGGGGAACGGAAGCAATTATCAAAAATCTGTTCAGTCATTTCTGTGCGGCTCGATCCAAAGATCATATGATCAGATTTTGGACAAAATTAGACCAATTTTTTAGGAGGAGTAGCGAAAAAAAAACTGTTTTTCATTTACTTCAATATGGCTGACAGGCACATTCATGAAAAATGAGACATCATCAGAATCAGCATAACCCAGGGAACGAAATGATATTAAAACCAACATTTTCAAAAGTTATGTGTTTTTGCACTAATCGTTCTATCTCTGGAACACAAGGTGGCACTGGCTTCAAACTTCTGAGGTACCTTCAGGACATGGTGTTGATGATCCCTACCAAATTGTTTTGCAGAGATGTCAAATAGTTCAAAAGATATAGCAATTTATGACAAATTTCAAAATGGCGGACACGTGGTTCATCCGATCCTGGCAAAATTGACATCCACAGATTCGGCATGACACAAGGAATCCAGAGACACGAAGAACGAAGTTCTAACTAACTGTTCAAAAGTTATAAGCAAAAATTAGCATTTTTGGTATCTCACGATCCATAGGTGGTGCTGTTCCCAACTTTGGCATGGACCCTTAGATCATGGTGTTGATGAAGTATACCAAGTTTTGTTTCAATTGATCAAAGTTTGGCCGAGATACAGCCTCTAAACCAATTTTGGGTCAACGTAAAGTTCATAACATCATAACTTTTGAACAAAGATAAATAAATAAAAATCGGTTAAGTCATGTCTGTGCAGCTCAGTCCAAAGATCATCTGAGCCAATTTTGGGAAGAATTGGATCAATTTTGAAGGAGTAGTAGTGAAAAGACGGTATACCACTTTTCAAAATGGCCGCTACTGTAATGGGTGGAGTCTTCATGTATGCTATTGCATGTGATCCGCATGAAGAGAGTAGTCAGGTGTACTAAGTTTAATTTTTCTAGAATAAGGGGTTCAGGAGTTATTGCCATTTCAATGTTGAATTTTTGAACTAGTGGTGGCGCTATAGAGTTGGTTCTAGAGACCCCAGAGTTGGTCAGATCATTATTCATGACCATCACAACAAGTGTGCCAATTTTCATCATTTTCCTGTTCCGTTCATAGGGCTGCCATAGACCCCCATTGGGAAGAAGAAGAAGAAGAAGAAGAAAACGTACAGATACAGTGGGGGCTACAGCCCATTCTGGGCTTGGCCCCTAATAATAATAATAATAATAATAATAATAATAATTTTTTTTAGTATTTGTGTTGGTGTTATGCCATGTCTTTTGAATGGCTTTCTTAAGTTAAACTAGTTTTGTTAACAAAATGTCTAGTTTTGTGAATGTCAACCTTGTTGTGAAAGCGCTGATTGATTGCAGTGCATATAGTGCAAAGTGTTTTTGTTTGCGTTCTTTCATATGAATATTTAAGTTTTTTTTTGTGTGTGTGATTTCATAAATTACTACACTTTGTGTAACGAATATAATTTTGCATGTTCTTTATGAAGCAATTAAGTGATAAGAATACAGTTTCATGGTTTGTCAACTTAAAGTTGGATGATTTTCAGTCGTTGAAGTACAATAAATTGTTCAAGATATGAAAATGAATGTTTTTTTTTTTTATTATTATTATTAGTAGTAGTAGTAACTAGAATCATGTCACAGCTGGTCATGTGATCACCATTAAGGTATAAACCCTGATAAACAGACTGTGATGTTCTGACCCAAAGAGCCAAGACGACCTAAAAACAAGTCAAGTCGATGTCCACTGCTTTGCTGTCTTCGTTATACAGAGCTGAAATACATAATACATTGCTATTTTATTAGAAAGTGCTGATTTCCTCACAAGACCTTTTGATTCTGTAAATTAATCTGTGGAGTAACTTTATCTTGCCCCAGACATTAACAAGGATTTAATTGTTTACTGAGTCTTAGACCTCATTTTCTATTACTACTTAAGAAAATCTACCTTGGATGTATAAAAGTATAGAAATAGCTGAATAATTCGTCGTGGTTCTATTGAAACATTCTGATAGTACAAAGTATTAAAGTTCAAACAAACTTATTTCAACAGTTTGAAACGTTTGATGTTTAAAAGTGTTCCTGATTGCATCATACATTAAAACAGTACCATATATTTCATGTGTGTGGCTGAGCCTGAGGGCGTTTGTTCAGGTCAGAGCAATCAGATATCAGATCCTGGATTCAGCCTGCAGGACACAAGAACATCTACCTAAGATCACAAACAGATTGAAAGAACAACAATGAAGAATACAGAGGATAAATAACACTGGCCAGCAATAAAAGATTTATGTCTCGTGGATTTTCCTAAACTGCTAGGAATTTTTACTCATTTCAAGTAAAACACATTTTAAAAATTGCTATGACACTTTTAGACAAGAAATTTTAAGTTTACTTCAGTTGCTACGATTTTTAAATGTTTTAATGAAGTCTATTCTGCACACCAAGGCTGCATTTATGTGCTTAAAAATACAGTAAAAACACGAATATTGTGAAATAACATTACAATTTAAAATAACTATCGTGATCTATTTGAAAATGTAATTTATTGCTGTGATGCAAAGCTGAATTTTCAGCATCATTACTCCAGTATTCCCTGTCACATGATTCTTCAGAAATCAATCAGACACAAATGAGCTGTTTAAACTGGACGCGTCAAAGCTATAGTTCATTTGCTCTTCCATTTATCCTGTTGTCGACAGGCTCAAGCGCTGGAGTAGGCTATGTCAGAGACTGAACGCGCATCTGTATAAGGTGTCCAGTTTAGACAGCATCAGTAATTATAATGGGTTCACCACAGGCCCAGTGGGCGGGGCCTGTGGTGCGTCAACCATTATGGCATCATGGAATTTGGAATTCCTGGCAGCGAAGATTCACACAGTCAGTTAAGAAAGAAGCGCTAGGACTTGATGTAAGCAGAAAGTGTGAAATAACATCTCTACAAGACTTCTGCAGCAGGCATGTCACTATCTTCAAAAAGAAGAGACTACAACAGGTGACAAAAGAGTCGACAAGTAAGATTTGAAATGAAAGCTAACAACAAATTAAACTAAGTTTTAAGCATAGTTCTAAGTACTTGTAAATAAGTTATTTTATTTTCAAAGTCAATCCTTTGTAAATCACATTTACTTTTATACACACACACATGGCTGTAACCAGGGTTTGAAAAATAGTAAGGTCTGGTGTAAGGTGTTAAGAACTGTGCTATACTCACACCTAAAAAATTAAACATATAGGCCTACACTTCATATAACCTTTAAAAGAGACAGACATGTAGATGTTCATAAACAATGTTTTAAAAAATTTGAAAAATTGACATCGGTCTGGACCTCTGTGACCTCATTGCTGGCTATGGCCATGCACACACAGACACAGACAGACACACACACACACACACACACAGACAGACACACACACACACAGACAGACAGACACACATTAATCTAGATTTAAAATAAATATAACAATATCATATTAGAATAATATTACCTTATTTATATTAACGCTTTATAATTAACATATCATACAACTATATATATATATATAGTAGGCTATATTACATAACTGTATTGTACTAATATATAATATTTAGGTTATCTTCAGAGAGCAAGTTGCTATAGTTACTTACATACCCTGAAAGTAACGTCCGATTTTGGAACCGAAAGCTGAGGTTATCCGCTGCTTATCCTCAAACATACCCGGGTATGTCACATAACCTGCTTTTTGGAATACCCCCCGCTTTCTGGAATACCCCCCAGATTACCTCAACAATAGTTGTTTTTGTAGCCAATTTTAAATTAAAACTGTAGCATAGCTTGAGCTGAAATTTAATGTAATGTGTGAAGAAAAAACCATCACTATCAAGATATAACTTCACAATCAACAAGCCTTCCGCTGTAAAACCACATACTGCAATCAAACATAAACATATCACATGTTAAATAGACGCCCCCTACTGCAGAAACTAACAACGTGCTTAATAAACTAATAAACTAACAAAATGTATCTGCATTTTGAGATTAGTCACTATTTTTATCTATATAATCTATAGAAAATATAATACATTTTGATATGGTTTTGTGTCAAACATTGAGATAAAGCACATAGACTTTTATATATTTATATTTGCTTTATTCCAGTGTTTTAAAAGCAGTTTGGAGGAAATGAGGTTAGCATCTTCTCATTTCAGTTTCATCAGATTATCTGAGGACAGTTTGTCTGTTTTAAACTACAAAAATGTCTGTCTTTTGTGTCTTGTATTATCTGCGGCCTCGACTAAAGCTAAGAAAACATGTTTGGTGTTGTACCTGTTTGTGTTCAGTGTATTGTTTCATCATTTTATAGATATTTTTTATCTATCTTTAACTAATAATCATCTGCTGTCACACACCTCTGAATGTACAAGCACCTGCTGTAAAACAAACCCGTCCTTGTGTTTGAATGGGACTCAATGGAGAAGCGGGTCAGCGCCCCCTGGAGGAAGAGACGGTTTACACATGATTTACACAACCAATGAAATCGTTAGAATCGGTTGCGGGGCGGGGTTTGCGCTTGGAAAAAGTCACGCCCCCACGCAATGCACTGCAGGCATACAAGGACCCAAAGTCGCCTTTTAACTGCCTGTTCAAAGCTATATTACATTTTGTTGATGGATATATTTATATATTACTAAAAATAATAACAACCTCAAAAACGTATTTAATAAATAAAATGACCTATTTCCCCACAAAAGTAATTTTCAAAACGAAAGCAACACATTGGAAATCTTATCAGGCGTCACGCAGGCGGCCTGTGGGGTCATGTTGGTGGAAATGTCATTCAGCGCAGCGGTTACTCAACTCATGGAGATCGGCTCCGAGAGACTGTCGTGAGGGATTCGGGCTGAAGTGTGGTGCTCATGGCTGGGCTGCTCTCCGCGGTGCGCTCCGGATCCAGAGCTTTACTGCGCTTTAACCCTGCAGCTGCTGGGAGACTCACCGCTGCTCGACCACGGGTGAGAGAGAGAGAGGACATGTGTTTATATTCCAGCACACTCACACTGATTTATTATATCTGATGTTTTCACTTTAAAAAGTATGTGATATGGTGTTGGTCTGTTTTGTCTTATGTATGAGTAAATTTGTGTATGTATAAACGTATGTGTGTGTGTATATATGCATATAAATATACAGTATATATATATATATATATACTTGTGTTATACATCAGTCATGTATACATGACTGACATGTGTTTGTTGTGATGTAACACATCTTTGTTGTGATGTAACTAATAACTGTGTCATGATGAGTAAGCTTGAACTGCTCTAGCTATATGTTATGACTCATAACCCCTTTCCTTCTTCCTCAGTTTTTAGCCCTGAACCGCCTTAAACCAGGATCATCCGCAGGGAATCGATACACATTCCCGCTCTTGTTTTATTCCACAGACGCACCTAAAGGTAAGGCATCACCAGACGTGTGACAGTATTTGTTTTCACTTGAATCATAATTTATAGACTGTCATAAAACTCTCAGATGGTAAAGCAAGCAGACCAGAGCTTCGGCCAGGAGGAGGAGGAGGAGGAGGAGGAAGGAAAGACTGGAAGAGTCGACTATTACAGGTAAACAACACTGAAACAGCATTCATGTTTTACCCCAGCATCTAAAGAAATGGTTTTAGGATCATTCAATTGTGACACTATTTTCATTACATTTAAACCTACTTTTCAGTTTCCTGTAACAAACTGCATTATCTTCGTAGGATTGTAATTTTTTTCTTAGCATTATTGCAGTAAGATTGAAGCATGTGTGTTTTTAACATGTCACTCAGGGAGACGTACCGTGGGACGATAAGGATTTCCGCTATGTTTTGATCACAATGGGAGGCGTTGCGTCCGTCCTGCTGTACCTCTACCTCAGAGATCCAGGCCGAGAGATTACCTGGAAGGATTTTGTCCATCGCTACCTGGACAGAGGACTGGTGAGAACAATGTCTGTGGTTTATGGTGAACATAGCTTCTCAATAACCTAAAGATGTGTGAAGAATGTTGGCAGTGTTGTGTGTCTTTTTCTCGATAATGAACACATTTCAAAGGTCTTCAAGGATCACGGCACACAGTGAAGTGCCATTGTGTCATTTTTCGCACTGAAACAGCCATTTTTCCGCACAGGTTGAGCGGTTAGAGG